GAAATATTTTTACATACATACATACGTACGTAGTTGTAAAACCATTTGAAGTCCAGACCGTCTGTACAAATTGATGATTTCACAGTCCTCGTCCTTGAAAATGTTACGAAAATTTTATTAAGGGAATGGAGAGCATGTACTATACATTTCGTCGTCTTTGGTGACATTTTTAAATTTTTTTATAGCAGTAGAAAAAGAAAAGCTTTGGCAGGCAGGAGCTGTTGAGGCGCATGTACCAAGGTCTCTGAAAAAAATTGCTGCCGATTAGAATCCAAGCGTGCCAATCTGGCCAATCCTAGAAGGACGACCATGCCACATGTGCCCAACTCCCGCGGGATCAGCGTTCTGAGCATCGGCTACAAGGCCTTGTCGAGCGAATTATGTGAAAGGCTAAATTCCGCCTTGAGTAAAATAATTTGGCGTTATCAGTGCGACTTTTGACCTGGTAAACTCTCCATAAGTACGTGAAATCTTGGAAAGGACCCGCATTCTATTTACATAAAGTTTGTTCTGTATCTACAGATTGTATGTACACAATGTAAATAAAGAAGCCTGAAAATATACTCTGTACAAATATTAAAGGGTTTATCTAGGAAAAATATTTACATATTTCGCCAAACTCGTAAACTTGAAAGGACAATACTCCGGTACTAAAAAAGATATCAGAACAAATAAGAAATCGTTTTTAAATGTCACATCAAGTTTTCTAAAAAAAAAAATATATTCATAATGAAATTTTAAGCCAACGTACCGAAAACCCGTAATTTTTACTTGGTTAGGTTTGAATATCAAATGCATATACATTAAGATGATTCAGCAAAAAAAAAATTAATTTTTTCACCCTCGGAACCCTGCTCACAAGTTTTGTTCAGACGCCAAAATAAGTCTCAGAAAATGTGAGCCCTTAATAATAATATTAAGAATGTCCGCATCGCACTTTTCGATTTCCCATAAGAGTAACAGAGGAAAATTGTTTTTTTTTTTTACTTCTGATTTTGTATATTTAACGAACGATACGTTCTACTGTAAAGGTCTGGCAGAACTTTGATGGAGAATTGAACGCCCTACAAAAAAGGTCGGAAGTTTTTTTTCGATAAGTCAACTCAGTCAAAAATTATTCGAGGTCAAAGTCAAATTCACCATTCTTTCGACTTGGTGATGGCCAAACATCGACTCGGACCACTGTCTTGTTGCAGCCAAGATACGCACCCGCCTCTGTGCAGAAAAAAATGTCCGCCCAACAATGCAAGAAAAGCTTAACGTCGAAAAGCTGCAATCACATCAGACAGCCAGTGCTTTCGCTACTCGACTCTCACACCTGCTCTCTGAGAGCACTCTTCAACAAACCGGCATACGTGAGCATTGGACCTACATTTCCATTAAGCACCGCCGCCGAAGAAGTAGCCCGAAAGAACAACTGGTATAATGAGGGATTTCAAAAAGCTGAAGAGAAAAAAGATGCCCAGTACAGGGCCACGCTGCGATTGAGCGCAACGCGCGCTATGTGGGACCGCTATAGGGATCTAAAGAGGGAAGCGAGACGTATTTACCGCAATAAGAAGAGAGGGGCCGAAATTCGTGAGTGCGAAGAGCTTTAGTTTTTGGCCGACAGGAAGAACGTCCGAAAATTTTATCAGAGGGTTAGGCGACTTACGGAAGGTTTCAAGACCAGGGCGAACTCCTGTAAGAACAACAATTGCGGCCTAGTGACCGATGTCCAGAACGTACTTAAATTATGAAGGGAACACTTCTCCACCCTACTGAATGGTTGCAGCGCTGAAAGTAGTGGTGAACACGAACTGGGGCCCCCAGTACATGACGATGGAGTCGATGTCCCGCCGCCTGACTATGACGGGGTACGAATAGCGATTACGCGGCTAAAAAGCAACAAAGCGGCTGGAGCTTACGGCCTGCCAGCCGCGCTATTCCAGTACGGCGGCGAAGTGGTGTTAAGGTGCATGTCATCAGCTTTTATGCAGAATATGGTCTGATGAACGCATGCCCGACGACTGGAATTTAAGTGTGCTCTGCCCAATCCAAAAGAAAGGCGATACCGCTAACCTTCTAAGCATAGGTTACAAGGTTTTATCGAGCACATTGCGTAAAAGACAGAGGCTTTAGCAGTGTGGCTTTAGACCTGGAAAGTCCACCATAGACCAGGTATTCACAATACGCCAAATCTTAGAGAAAACCCGCGAGAATAGGATCGACACCCATCACCTATGTATCGATTTCAAAGCAGCTTTCGACAACACGAAAAGAAATTGTCTTTATGCCGCGAAACTAATACGGCTGTGTAAAGTTACGTCAGAATTGGGAAGGACCTCTCCGAGCCGTTTGATACCAAACGAGGTTTCAGACAAGGTGGCTCCCTTTCATGTGATTTCTTTAACCTGATGTTGGAGAAGATAATAAGAACCGCACTAAATCGCGCCGTCACAATAATTTCCAAGAGCGTACAATTGCTGGCGTATGCCGACGATATCGACATTGTCAGTAAAACAAAAGCCTTCTCACAATTAGATAGAGAAGCAGAGCAAATGTGTCTGGTGGTGAACGTGGACAAAACGAAGTAGCTCCAGTATCTCTAGCAAGAAAGATGCGCGTTAGCCATGGCGAATGCCGCAGACTATTTAACGATAAGCTGTATAGCTTTAAAACAATATAGACGTAGTGCAGCGAATTAAAATTCCAGCTCCAGCTCTGAAAGTATTCAACGTGGGTCGCGATGTTGGTAACAGAGGAAGAGGAAGGCCTCCTCTGCGTTGGAAAGACCAGGTGGAGAAGGCCTTGGCTTCACTGGCGTGCTGTTTTGGACTCGGCCAACGTACTCTCGCAGATGTTTGAAATAGGGGTAAAAGATAAAATCACCCCTGCTTACCATGTAGCGATAGTTTTCGTAAAGGTGACAACACTATATTTAAACTTACACTTTTTTACTTGCTTTATTTTTCTTTTTCTTTTCAAAATATGCGGGAATTTTATTAAAGCCATGTTTATATGCATATATTAAAGTAGCCACATTAAGAACTAAAAATATCTTGAAAGCTAATGAAGAGGCATGAGGTGCTAATTTCAAAACCAAAGAATTACTTTGATACACATTATCGCACCCACATGTACGTACGCTCATATGAACATCCCAGTGGGAAAATGTTAATGCATTACCTTTTTCTACCAAGAAAAGTTTAAAAACTACGGTTGGACGAAAAGATGCATCGCGACATCTATCTCTAGAGTTTTGATATGATCCAAGGCGACGAGGTTGATATCTAGACTAGGTTGTATAGAATCATTGTCATAAATACCTTTGCTATATTTATAGTACAAATGGTGGTCTGGACATACAACATTGCAAGTTGATAAAAGCGTTGTAAAATAATAAAGTCCGTGCCGCAGGTTTTGAACCCGTGACCAACAATACGGCAGTCGAACACACATCCATTCGGCTACAGCAGCTGTTCAGATAGCGCGAAAAAAACAACAACAACTTTAGTTAGTTTTCAAGCATTTTGTTGTGTTTGTGGCTTCAAAACCGATCCAATCATCCGATCGCTTACATTGCGATGCATCTTTTCGTTCAACCGTTGTTGTTAAAATAAAAGCAACAAAACAAAATTCTGCAATTCGACAAGTTTACCTTTTAATTTAAAAAAACCTGTATTTGAATCGGCAACGAAACTTACATTACAAATGAAAACAAAGTAATTTTGAAACAAAAAACGTTAATTTTTTTAAAACGGTCAAGTATGACCTAGCATTGTAATCATCATGAGCCAATCTTTGCCATTTCTGCCATTTTTTCATTTTTAACCACTAGATGTATAAGGTAAAATAATTCATACATAAGTATTTATTAAACTTCGTTTTGAAAAAGTAGTGTAAACACCAAATATTCAATTTCGAATTTATAAAAAAAAAATCGTTTGATAGACAAGCAATTGAAAATTTCAATACTTTAAATTTGTAAGATAACAAGAATAGGCCTAGTTAACATGTTGTGGTTTAGTTTTTGTGCTGTGTGACTTCCCAGCATCTCCAAGTGTTGGAATTAACGAAATAAAGCAAGTTCCAGATGCTATAGAATAATAATAACTCATTATTACTTTTTGTCGTAAATATCATATTTACTTTAAGGACGAAATAATCCAATTCGGTTGTTCTAGATTCGCTATAGATATTCTATATTCTTCTGTAATTTATTTATATCATATACATATTTATGCCTCGGAGTGAATGTATGGAACATTCCATACACGCCCTCCCTCCTAACCTAACCATTCATAACGTAAATTAAATAGTTTTCAAAATACATATGTATGTATGTATATATTTATTAACAAGTGTCCATTAATCAAAAATGAAATTATGAACCTACTGTTTCTTAAGCTTGTCGGAACAACAATTTGTCCTGATGAAGTCCGATTTTTATTGTTAAGTTTATTGTAATTTTTTGAAGGATACATCTTTTTTCATATCATACTTTCAGCGATTCCGCAGGGCCTGCGCCCAAGCCCGGCTCAACGCAACATCGAAAAAAAATGTTGTTTTTCTAATACCAGTCGCCCCTGGGCAGGCAATGGCAAACCTCCGAGTGTAAAACCTAAAATTAAAGCGCAGTTACCCACGGACGTAAAAACGGAGAACGTATCAGGTGACACGATCTATCTTATGAGATCTGCGTGCTAACAAAAAATATAGATTAATTCCCCTGTTCTTAGGGGCCTTCAGAACGAGAATGTATTTCCTTTACGGGGCTAGATTTAAAACGAAAGCTGATACTCAAATCAAATTAAGCCATACATAATTTCACGGTAGAGCGCGGGTTGCTTCTATTACCTTTTCCAACAGATTTTTTTGAAAAGAACTTTTCCTTAAGAAGTATTTTATTATTTTTTCCAGCACTGTATGTATATATTTTAAGCTCATATTAAGTAGCAAAGTTTCAACGAAATATTTCAGACATGCTGTGTACACAAATGTGTTGGTCAATTTCTCGAATGGATGCTGTTATCGAAGTTGGAACAAAAGACCACCATAGAAACTAGACTTTTTCATATCCATCAGTAATATGATTCACACAAATTGTTTTCAGGTCAATACAAAAGATGACCGTTTGACATGACTTGACACCTTCGTCGCCATTGTCTTTCAACCAATGAATCTGGTACATAAAAGCGCTATGGCTGCTACGGTTAGCCACAATTACTCTTTCGTCGCAGTCGCGTTCACAACGTCATGATATATGGCCAAAGTATCGATGTGAAAACTTTAAAAACAAGTGCGGCATGATAAAAAAATAAAAATATGCTGTTAAAAATACCGATTCTTCCAAGCAAAATGGTTTGTATCTTTAAAGTGCTTAGTATAATTTAATATTTAATTGCTTGTTAGAGTCTGACGAATTTAAGTTAATTGCCGTTTTAAATACATATGTAGCTCGCTTTAGTGGTATTAACGTTGTATCTAAGCGGTATCGTGGCTAATCGGCTGGATAACTTGCTGCTTAAACCGGTGATGGATTTAGTTGGCGCTGAAGTATCGCCTGCCGTTTCGAAGGCGTCGCTCGGCAAGTTGCAAGATCGAGATGAGGATCCAGTGTTTTTCGAGCTGCGTAGCAAAGATGGTAATAGTGGTGTGCTACGGCGCAGTGCAGGCGACAGAAAAGATCTACTTCAACATCTTTTTGCGGCCTATGGCTGCTTGACTTCCATCGAAGGTTGGACGAAATTGAAGGGAAAATTGGATTTTGAAATGTTGCCCAACAAATGTTTTGATTGCAAGAGGTAACAACTGCCCAATCATTGTTGGAATAAAGCCAATCTTAAAGCTCATAAATAATTACAGTCTGCGCAATTTTGTGGGAAAATTCAAAAAAATTGATGAATGCATACAGTTGGCATTTCGTCGCAATTGTTGGGAAGTTTAGTCATCTGTTAGACTCCTTTAAATGCGTAATTTTGAATTAAATCTCTATTTTATTAAACGTCAACGATATGTATGACTGTATTTAAAGAGATTTGAACTAAGTACATACTTTAAAGTCGGCTTTATTTTGACAGATTGAATGGGCTAAATAGTAAGCATAACTTAAAACCCGTATGCACACATTTGTGTACACGAATTTAAACTTCAGTAGATACGAGCCCAGCATGGATGATATCTTTAATGGATTAACAACAGTGAATCTCGGTCAAACCCATGTCTCATCGGCGGACGAACAAAAAATTCAGCCCGCTTTTGTCAAGACTAAGGAGTCTTCGAGTGACAATAAGTTTATTAACTTTCCGCCAATGTCAAACTACGCCGATTTTTACAAAGATTTGCTAACCGATATCAGTAGGAAAGAACCAAAACGGGCTGGCACAGCACCGGTCATTGGCTGCGATTGTAAAGTTAAGGTAATTTGCTTAAATAGCAGGGCGCACTTACATATGCGCAAACCGTCCTCAAAAGAGGCACAACTCAAAATTTGGCATTTTTGAAATTATGCGCTAAAAATGTACACAGAGCTTTTATTTACCTTTCACCGAAAAATCTGGAGCAAATTTCTCTTATAATTTGTTAAAACAACCTAAGGTAGTCTCCCTTGCCCATATGATTATCATGTGCTAAGAAATAGTTTTTCACATTTTCTGACAAACGTGTAATTTTGAGTTGTGCCCATTTGGAAGGCGGTGTACGATATTTTTATAAAAATTACCTTTTATACTATCTCTGCGATGTTCCACAAAAACACTTGAAGACGACCGCTGCACAGTGGTCAATAAATGGAATTTAATGTTCATAATTCACTGGAGCCTTCATTTCTCCCACCAATTTGATTAATTATTTTTTTAAATGAAAGCTAATAAAATTTTCAAGAGACTAGTTGAGCCCAATTTTTTATTTTTTATTTTGTTTATATTAAATTTTTTAGTGCAAAGTGCCGAAAAAGTGCCAATTTTGAAGAAGATCGATTCTCCTGTTCCAGTTAAAAAAAGATACATAATAAAAACTAGTTAAAAACAATTTCTCTGTAAATATTTGGGTATGCAGTTTTACATAAATATCATTAAATTTTAGTATAATAAAGTGCAAGTTGCAAGTCGCTAAGAGTTCCCGTTAATTTTTAGTAATCTATAAAACTGCATACCCAAAACTTTTATAAAAACTAAAAACAAAAAAAAAATACTTTTGGTAAAATTTTTTTTTTAACATTTCAAATTATTACTTTTTAATTTTTGTTTTGTTTTGGGAGAACCCTACAATTGTTTTTAACTAGTTTTTATTATGAAACTTTTATTAGCTGGAACAGGAGAATCGGTCTTCTTCAAAATTGCCGCATTTTCTGCACTTTGCACTAAAAAATTTAATACAAACAAATAAAAATTCGAAAATTGGGCTCAACTAGTCTCTTGCAAATTTTATTAGCTTTCATTCAAAAAAAAATTATCAAATTGGTTGAGAAATGAAGGGTCCACTGAATTATGAACATTAAATCCCAGCCACTGTGCGCTGTGGCTGAGTGGTTAGAGGTGCGTACTACCACTTCTTACGACCTGGTATCGACCCCTTGTCCGTGCAAAACCTGAATTTAAAAAAAAAAAATTTCTAACAGCAGTTGCTCCTCGGTAAGCAAATGCAAACCTCCGAGTGTATTTCCGCCTTAAAAAGGCGTCTCCTAAAAAAGCATTTACCTTTCAGAGGCGGCAAATTTGTGTTATAACATCAGGACGCACTCAGGACGGAGAAACTCGGTTAAATACTTAGCAAAAGTTTGTAAGCGCCAAAATATTATTAATTATATCAATCTTGAAGAAATTTTAAGTCTTGGTTGGTTCAAGTGCCGAGTTTAACAACTCCAAATAGCACTTATGCGTGCAGCTGAAATCGGTTTTTTCACGCAAATCTAGCACCGCTTATGTCTGTTAAATCGCAGTAGCGGGGTTTGCCTAGAAACCTGACTCGAGTCCTACATAGTAGTGATGTGCTGAATTTTCGGTACCCAATACTTCCTTTTCGGTACCCGATACCATTCTTTACATTAGACCTTCGTCATTATATGCATTTCAAGTTTAGAAAAAAACTTTCATTACTTATTTATATGATATCGGCTAAAACACTTGAACTAATCGCAACATAGAAATATTATGTTATCAATTTTAATCTTAGTCGATCCAAAGTTTAAGAAAAATGCTTTTTCTTCTTCACCTGGGGAGCTACAGCTAAGACAAGAGTGTTGTGTTACAGTCCTAGCCTTGGAGCATGGATTCTCACGGCCAAGTGCCCCGTGTAAACAACAGTTAGTCGCGATAAATCCCTTCTGTTGAGTTTGATGAGAAATGCAGTGCGTTTTGCGCAGAAGGTGGGCCACAAATTCCTGAAGACCCTACAGCATTGTAGGCCTTTCCATCTATTATAAGTAAGTCACCTTTTTCCAGTGCTGAAATATGTGTCTCTTGATATAGCTCAGAGGCACAAGAACCTCCTGTGCCTCTGAGATATTCAGACTGATATACTGTACCCTGGTACCCAGATTAGTGCAACGACATGCCTATCAGCTAAAGCCATAACGTTATCTCTGCACTGTTTTATTATGCTGTCCGAGAAAATAGCAATGCTGGTCCCGGCTAGCTTTGAGATTAAAATTATTTTGCAAGCCTTTTTGACGGCAAATACCTCCGCCTGGAAAACACTGAACGAATTCGGTAGTCGAATAGACTCTTCGATTTGGAGATCAGCTGAAAAAATTGCCGCCCCTACGCCACAATCCATTTTTTAGCCGTCCGTAAAAATAAATAATTCAAAGCGTTCATTAAAAATAGGCTCCTTCCAATCCTTTCGTAGTGGAAATATCGTCCCGAAGTTTTTCTTGAAGAGAAGCGAAGGACAGATGTAGTCAGACTTTTCGCTAATGCTTGGGAACAAGATACGGTCATACCCGTACGAACTTTCTTTCCACAGTCTAAATTCCCTCAATCGCAGGGCACCCTGTGAGGCATTTTCCTTAATAAAGATATCAATCGGTGACAAATGACAGATGATGATCCAATGCCGCCGTTGGACATGATCTGATCGCCCCAGTATGTACATCCATAGCATAAGATCAGGTCGTAAACCCCACTCTGCCCTAGCATATTCTTGCAAACATGTTTTGAAAAGAGGATTTATAGACCTTTAAAATTATGTATAACAATATATTGTTAGACTTAGCTCGTTGGAAGTTTTTGTTTCGGATAAATTTTAAAAAGCCCCTATTCTTCTTAATCTTCTTGGTTAAATCGCCGATTTCAAAAATTTCTATGAAAGTTGCCAAACATGTATGGCCTTATTCATAAAAAATAAAGTAGATTTATAAAAGGTTTATAAATTGAAAAATGTATGAAAACGTCAATTTATAAAGCTCTTGAAACCTACTTTATTTTTTATGAATAAGGCCAGTAGTGTTTACCTAAAATTACAGTACATAAGTATTTACATACATATGTGTCTTAACGAAATTATGATTCTTGTTTGTTTGATACGCGGTTACGAGGACGTTAAATTAGATTACGTGAGAACTCCGGTATTTCTTATCTTGTCCATTATGTTACCACTGAATACATGTTTAAGGGTATGGTAATTGCAGATATTCCATATGGAGTTATAAGACAACGCACTGTAGATTAAAATAAAGTTCTACCGTCATCATCTGTACAGTAGCAGTCTACAGGTCGCCGCAGAAACTCCTATATCCTCCCCCATAAGGGTGTCCTGTCTAGCCAATTAGTCAGTCATGTAGTTTATTCATTCCCTTAGAAAGGGATCCAAACATAGCCAGGCTGGATGCGCTCCAAACCGCTTCTTGAAGTATAAAGCGCCCCGACCCAACTTTTAACTTATGGAGACTTTTACAGTGAACTCTTCCTGACAATGACTTCATACAAAATATGTTACTGGCTGAAATACAGTTTAACGCAGATGGCAAATAACATTTAAACTGAGAGCCCACCTCTTTTCCATGGTGGTTTTACAGCAATATAGAGCAGCTGATGAATTTTTAACCGCTCTTAAATTGTCACTTAGGGCCGGTTTCTCAGTGTCTATAACATATACCGGAGACTTAAAGGACTTAAAAGATTTAATCGATCGGTAGTTCACCAGAAGAAAAAGGGCAGTCCATTGGGTCGAGGACGGTAGATTCACGAGGTTCAGGATTTGTTGGGAAACGAGCATCGATATCAGGAGCAGATCAATATATCGCTAGCTTAGAAAGAAAAGTTGCTAAGTCCCATTTTAAAAATTTTACAGGAGAGAAAAAAATCTTCCTATAGCCATTTTCTTTAACTATTTCGCAAGACTTT